ATGAAGGAATTTGTACCATTTGCTCGCCGAAGTATATAGATGGGATTAGGTGCTTAGCACCTCCTGCATCAATTATGGCCTTAGAATGATTGACATGGAGAAAATTATCCGTACATGCGAATTTGCTCAATGCGATTGCTGCCTCGCTTGTAACCTCGGGTTCCCTATCATCTAGGAGCTGCACCAATGGACCAATAATTCTTGTTTCCGTTGCTCGGAAAGTTCTGGCCAAATTCCCAATGGATATAATGCTTGGAATGAGGAGTTCCGAGTCTGCTTTGTTGATGATTCGCAAGAACTGGTCGACTACTGCTTTAGCAGCCGGTGCAGTAGGTTTGAAAGCTGAACGCCTCAATTCTGCGTTTTGCTCGGATACTGCTGTAATCTCCATCAATGCCATTGCTGAATTGTATTGAACTTCATCAGGGCCTTTCTCCAACAAAACTGCAAAGCATAAAAGCGCTCTGGATTCGGTTATACTATGACAAATAGTAATGTTCCCTGCACAAAGGTGTCTAAGGGCCCTAGCAGACATTGCCTTCATTTCTGCCTTAGTAGCAGGGTCTTCAAATTCCCTACCCTTAATGCTAGTTCCTGTCAAGGCAACTTGGTGCCTCTGCTGCTGCTGATTATGTTGGTGCACCTGATTTTTATTTGTTTTCGCATTCTTATGATTTGCCTCGGGATTGTTCGCTTGAAGCTGCACATTCCCTTTTGAAGGTACGTTCGACTTCATAGCAATAGTATTCGCAACAACATTGTGCATTTGGCTTGTCTTGTCATTCCCAGTCGGATGAGAAATCGTGCTTTGAAAGTCATCTTCGTTCCTATTACTACTCGTCTGGTCAATCGATTGGGAATTAGCCATCACAACCGTGTGAATCGACATGGCTTGTTTGTTGCTTGCAATGACATACTTACTATGTTCTTGAATCGTCTCGAATGCTAGATGACTAACAAGCAATCTTATCGTATTATTCTGAGCGAAATGATCCTGGCACTTCGGATGATGAGCAGCCAATTCCGATACGGCCCACGCCACCACAACCTGAACTTTCATATGCCCTTCTTTGAGTATTTTAGCAAAAACGGAACAAACACCAGCATTAACAATGGGTTCTACACATTCAGGGTCTCTGCCTAATAGCCCTATTGCCCTTGCAGCATTTTCTTGAGCCTCCATTCTTCCTTCCTTAGCCAATTTCAACAATGGTGCAACCCCACCTTCCTCAATGATCAATTTTCCATACCTATCATTGTCTCGAGCCAGCGAAACAAGTGAAGCAGCCGCATCAGAACGTTCCTCCAACGAACCCGAACACAAAATCGCAATCTGCTCCCATATCAAGCACAGAATCGGCTCGTTCGACGCGATAGGAGGCAGCCCGAGATAATCATCGTCCCGATCATTGGCCGGTGTTGAGACTCGAAGAAGCCATGAAACATCACCTATGGAATTCTCCAATTGTTGTGAGGTTTTCCTTAATGCTGCTGTGGGGATAATTGTGAAAACTCTTCTCAATCCATTGGCCCGGCATTTGAACACGAGGGTTAAGGCCTTATCGAGTACTTGCTCAGTATCGTCGATAATCCGCCGGGTCGGGCGCTCATACAGGTCGCCGCTAGCCCTGGCGGCTTGCCGTAGCAGCCCTGCGAGTTTCTCGGTTTTCACCTTGATTTCAAGGCATTCCTGCCGGAAAGAGCTAGTGTCGCCGGAGGCTTTTATCACCTGATCGGCCAATTGAATTGGTTTTGCTAGGATTTGTTTCACTATGTCCGCCATGAATGATCACATTAGCGGACCCTTCTCCTCAAAACGAATCCAAACCCAAAATTAAAAAAAAACAACAACGAAAAATGGGTGGTTGTATAACTTTGATGCTTCAATTCTGCGAAATTTTGTGGTCTGAAATGGTGAAGCTACATAATCTGAGTTTTGGTTAGAGTTTAGAAGAATGCATAGTTATTTTTATGGAGGAGGAGGAGGAGGAGGTGGTGGTGTTGGCGATGTTAGTGTTGGCGTTGGCAACGGCGGTGGTGGTGGCGGGGATTGAGAATAGTCATATTTTATTATTATTATTATTTTAATTTTTTTGTTTAGAGAATTTATGGGAATGGTGTAACGCAAATGTCTCCTTTTCCTTTTAATGAAAAACAGTGTAGTAACCTTATTTTTAGGCTGGAGTCTGGGTAGCCTAATTTAAAGTTGGGTTGCATTATATTTTAGCCTATGTTCGAGCTCCATCTTTTTAAAAATCTACTTTTTTTTTTCAATACTCATTTTCAATTTCACGTTCTTCAATAAAATAATTCGAATAAATGTTATTTATTGTCAACGACTATTAGTAATCATTTCATGTGGTAGTTTTTTACTTGAGTGATTAATGGATAACAAGCTAATAACAAGTTAATGTCTCAAATAACAAATTGTCACATAGAATAATTATGATAGTGGTTGACTATGAATAATATTACTCAATAATTTTACACGTAAATTGAAAGCTTTTCATTATTTTTTAACAACACATTTTTCAAAAAATTATTATTCTATTTTTTCAAAAACGGGGCTCAAACATGGACTAATGTTTTCGTATCGACCATATCATGGAAATTATTATTATTATTATTATTATTATTATTATTATTATTATTTACATTTACATTTACATTTACATTTAAAGTTGGGTTGAACTTGGGCATGTGGGTTATAAAAGAAAATAAGTTTTTACGGAAAATTACACCCTGGTTTTTAACTTTTTAATTCAAAAATCAAGTTTAAAAGTTTTTTATTCAAAAATAGGTGATAACTTTTAAATGTTAATAATAATATTATTAAATTATATTAATCTACCACCCCACCCATATTTCGCTCCCAAACCTAAATCATTCTCTTCTTTATTTTTCTATATCATCTCCCTTCTCTTTGTTTATCATACATGAAAAATCACTGTAAAGATCACAAAAAGACAACTGGTGTGCACATTGCTGTGTAGTGGCGTCTTACAACACCACACATCGGTAATGGTTTTGGGTTGTTTCTTCCTCCCTCGATCTGCAGCTTAGCTAGAGTTTTCCGGTGTTTTTGTTGATGGTTTGGAAATGGTAGTGGTGGTGCGGTGATGGTGAGCTGCGGTGATATAGGAGGTGAAAGTGCTGGCGATGGTGGTGCAGGTAGTGGTGATGTTGGCGGTGGTGGTGAGGTGGCGTGACGTTCGATCACTGTGGATGGTGAATTGAGGTTAGGTTAGATGGGGGTTGGGTCGAGTAGGGATGAAAAGTATTTGTGATCAATAAATTGGTTAATTTGTAACCAATAAATAATATGTAATCCATAAAATAGATAATTTGTAATTGATAAATTAGATAATTTGTGATCAATAAATAATATGTAGCCTAAAAATGTGAGATTAAGACTAAATTTGTAATCGTGACTTATAATTTGTTAAGTTGTTTCCAATTAATTTGATAATTTGTGACCATGAAATAAGTCGTGACATGAAATTTATAATTTGTGATTGAGAAATAATATGTGATCCATTAATTTAATAATTTGTGATTGATAAATAAATTGTGACATGTAAAATTTGTAATTTGTGACTGTAACGTTTTGCGATTGTGATGATTATATAATTGTGATCATAAATTTTATAATATTATGGCATTAATATATTTAATTAATAAAATATCTATTTAATTAATAAAATTAAATTATGACTTGATTTTTGAAATTTTAAAACAAAATTTTGAAATTATATCTTTCAAACACTTTAGATCTATTGTTTCCTAGCATTTAAACTCATGCTAGACTTGGTTTCACGGACTGCATGTTTAGCTCTCGAGATTCCACGCTTCAAGGCAGCCTTTCCCTCGTTCTTACGTAGACAAGCCCCTGAACGACTGGTATGCACGGTATGAGTAGGATGTTAGGGAAATGCTTGCATAAGATCATATCATTAGCGCACTGTATGGTAAAATATGTCATACGCCTAACTGTTGACGACATTGCCATGTCGAATAAGGAGATAAGCATTTTCACTGCATAACATTCTCTCCCATTCGAACCCTCTTATGCCTTCATAGCAGAAAGTGAGCTTCACATCAGCATGTATCACTCTTATGACAAGAATAACATTGGCACCATCTCCACTTAGACAAGCATGAACACAATGCTGCTTCATACATCAATCCGCAATAACTCGTACATACCTCCTCCGACACCAACCTTCACCATATGCCTCCATAAGCGTTAGTCCATCGGATGGGTGGCCTCTAGTCGTAGCGTCTCAACACATATCGAAGCATATACACAATCTTCATCATTGAGCCCTACAATTGCACTCCTTGAAATCCCTTGAAAGGTACATAGGCACACTCATGCAAAGCCTGCCCTTTTCATCATTCTTTCCCACATATTTCTTCTTCGTGTTTCCCCTGCTTGCCAACACGATCCGTGGCCCAAAATCCATTCTTCAAGAATGCACCGATAGCCCAAGAATGGCTAACCAAGAAGGAGGTGAATTGGTTATTAAAATATTTTCAAAGAATTAATATAAATTCAAGCAAGTAAAGAATAAATAGATAAATTCAAATAATAAGTACAAATGTAAATGCAATAAGTAAAAGAGAGATGGTGTAAACGATATAATTATGGAGGTTCAATCCAATGTAATGATCTACGTCATTTGTTACAAATTTCTCCGACACGAGTAACGCCTTTTCACTATATTGATTGGTTTATGGTGCAATCCAACCTTTTACAACGCTTCCGGTGATTTAGAATCAAGGAGCACCGATCCATATACAATATTGAACTTTACTGAACCTCAATATAACTCACAAATTTAAAAATGAATAATTTTACAATTTGGGTCTTCTCTCTTAATAAATAATAGACACAAATTAAGTATAAAGAGAAAAATATGCTAACACTTAAATGAATAGCAATGAAAGATCAAGTGTTAGATAAGAGAACTTTAATGGAAAATATAATTTTCAAAAGTTGATTCAATCAATCCAAAGTTTTCTAAATAAATATTTTGAAGAGTTAAAAAAATGTAAACTCAAAGAGTTTTTGCTTAAGTAATTTTCACTTTGATGCTCTACAAGAATTAGTTTTGAATGTAAGAAGTAGATGTATTTTTAGAGTTCAAAACGTCAAAATATCTGGGAATTCGGATGACCGAGTCCGATCGATCGCCTCTTGTCCGGATGACCAATATAGTCGTTTGTACAAAAAAATCAGAGGTCAGAATAGTCAAATTTTGTACCGTTGCAAATTTTCAGTCAACCCCTATTTTGGCCAGTCGACCTCCGGGCAGTTTGGTTTTTTTTTACGTTTTTCCTCCGTTTGTTTCGATTTGAAGGATTTGAAAAGTATGGACTTTTGAAGAGTATTTTTAACTAAGTTTTCAAGATGAGAAGTGTTTTTCAAGTCCAAATATTATTTTTAAAAGTCATTTTTATATTTGATCAAGTCATTGTATTCGAAGACTTTTAATGCACAAAATTATCTTTAATGCATGGTGGGATTTTGAGCTTAAACATTCGTTGCCATATATCAAAGTGTTAGTATCTTTACACTTTAGCTAAGAAATTAAGCATTTGATCTTGCTTTGAAATTTGGCTCTTAAGTTCTTGAATGTCACTTTGATCTTGATTTTCTTCATCAGTCCGATTTGTGATGATAACTTTTGATGTTTTGACGACCATCGATCAATTTTCCACCGTAGGCGTTGAAGGACTATAATCACTTGAATTCAACTTTTTTTAGTAAACAAGATTAACTTGTTTGTTATAATCAAAATTTTGAGGTTTTAATCAACCATAGGTCAACATGCACACCATTGATCTCCCACAACCAACAACGTATATTGGAGTGGTCCCGCTTTGATACCAACTTCCACAGACCGTGAGTTTGGCTTCTGAGGTTTCATGCCTCATCTTCTCCTCATTCTCAAACTGGCACGCCTGAACAACTGGCACACGCTCAGACTATGAGTAGAATGTTAGGAAAATACATGCATATGATCATATCATTAGTACACTTTTTAGTAAAATAGACCACATGTCTAGCTATTGACGACGTTATTAGGTAGATAAGCATTCTTGATGCGTGACACTTCGGCATGTGGGGTATAATAGAAGAGAAAATTACTTCTATCATACATTAGAAGTTTCGATTTATACTAATTATTTTTTTCCTTATCCTCAGCATACAATGCAACTCTGTCATCTTCTCTCTCGTCATCAACACTCTTTTTGTTCTCGTTTACTTTCATCATCTTCATCTTCTTCGTCAATATCATCTGCTCAATTATTGGAAGAGAAGTGCTGTAAAAATACTATCACTACCGTTGAATAAGCAATTTAGTGATTTGGGGGTCAAGTTAGAGTGGATAGTATATATATTTCGAGGTAGGGCAAGAATTAGAGATTGAGGTGTAGATATCTGGTTTAAAGGAATTGGAGATAACAATTTGGGTTTTGAAAATACAGCGTCGTTTCGCCATTGTTGTGTTGAATATTGTTTCTTGAGAGGGTTTTTTTTTTTTGATATCCAGGTATCCCAACTTACACAAGACTATGTCCGGACCACCCATCCCCGACCCCTCAGTGATGGGTGGAAGTTAACCGCGGGATATGCCCAAGTTGACCAGGGTCTGTGCACCATATATACTCCTGGCCCCAAGGGAGCCTTCCTCCATGGATATTACATCACCAAGCTGCTCCACCCAAATAGCGTATTACAACACTCAGCTGAAAGCTGCTCCACCCAAATTGAGT